ATATATATATATATATATATATATATATATATATATATATATATATATATATATATATAGCTGGAAGGCATGAAATATTTCAATGTTTTTTCTCATTTTAATATCACATTTTAATATCAGATGACTGTATCCTAAATTAAAGACGAACTAGAGATCCTTTAATTTCGGATTGTTAAGTGAAAACTTTAACCTCAGTGTCTTATCCAACATGAAAATCGTACAACTGCAGTAAATGATCTAACATAATAGGTTAGAGAAATAAGATTCCAACTACCATATCTTTGAATGTATAACCACAAAGAGGGTTTGAGAAGTTCACTATCAAAGGAGGATAAAGTTAGAAAACAGCAATATATTAGCGTAACTCCTGACCAATGATACCTTCAAATTCTTCTCATTCGGTATACAAAAATATAATTATTCATAGAAAGGTCTAAGAGTGAAAAAAGGTTTTACTTGACAAAAGTTCCTTTACTTTCAAGTATTTGTGAGAATAACTCATTTCGATAATACCTTAGCTGCAAATAGAAGAGATTTTAATAATTAAAAGATCGCACCTTATGCTGACCACATATTTTTGTTGTGTGGCACTGAATCGCACTAAGAAGGTACCATCTGGTGTACTACGTAAGAGCTCCTCCGCATCCCATCGCTTCATTGGTCCCCGATACCAGTGTTGACCCACTAATTCCGTATTCACATAATCTTGGCTCTGCGATTTTCGAGGTAAAACCCTACCAAAAATTACATGATTTGCAGTTATATCGTTATAGACCATATACTTTTTGATGGGATGAAAAGAATAAGAAAGTTCGCTCTTTAAAATATTCTAAAATCTCAAAAAAAAGTGCTCCGATAGAAAAAAAAAGGATATCTTACATATTTTCGATCGAGGCAGAAGACTTGCGTTCTCCGTTTGTAAGAGGCAGTTGCAACTGAGGTGAACCAATCCAAGAGTCACTATGTTCTACCGGTGACGAAAGTGTAACGCTACTTAATGAAGTACCTGTCGACAAACCCATATGCAATGACGATGTCGATATCTATAAATAACTAATATTTGGTCTAATCGATCATCACGGAAAAAATTTGATTGTTTTGTCGCATCTCCGTACTGTAATAAATAAGGAATGATTGAAATGAGTGGATGGCCAACCAACAATTTCGAATTTAATTTATGAATTCGACATGAACTTACTCGGAATCGACGAACAAATTCCGGTCGAATAAGTCCAGCTCGGTTAGGGAGGGCAACAATTCGACCCTGGAAAAACTTCGATGAAAAGAACGGAAAAGTTATTTTTCAGATCTCTCATTGATTTGGAATCCCTTTAAAATTTCATTCTTATTTCTATCACGTTGATTTTTACGAAGGTGCTTTCATAAAAATCAATGTGATAGGAATAAGAATGATACCACAGTAAAAATAAAGAACCTGAAAATTTCATCTCTGAATTATATTCACAACCTACACATTGGTAATGTTGTGAAAGCGATGCTAAAGAAAAATTTTGAATATTTCAAACGTATAAGTGCTCTGGATTTTGCTCCCTGATTCTATGAAATTGTTAGTTATATAAGATCAGATGGTTCAGGTTAGAAAAAAGCATGAATGAGTGGTAGTCAAGGTATAAATTTCAATTTTTTGATTTTTTTTAATTTCAATTTTTTGATTTTGGCACTTCTAATGCCTGTTAATTGTCAAAAGAAAATTCGAAATTAGACTCCTTGTTCGTAGAATTTTGATTGTCTTGTTGCTACTAAATCTGTTAAACTTCTAATCTCAAAGGACGAGTAAGAGTGATAGGAAAGGAAACATTCTGGAATTAAGAATAAGAATGATTCCATTTTTTGCCACAGCTAAAAGCTATATAAAACCAAAACATCGTAAAAAATCTTACCGTCAGTGTACCGTCAACATTTCGCTGGGTGATTTCTATCAAATCATTCATTTCGAACGACAGGAACAGTGGATCGTTCGAACGAAATGACTGTACTGCGCGAACACATTCATGGGGCTCAGTTTAAAATGTGCCCTTCACCTTCTTCCATGTTTCTTCTTGTGTATTTTCAAACTCCATTTACTCAGGAAACCTTTACTGCAGACAGTGCAGTTGAAAAGCTGCCTAATTTGTTGTGAATTTCCATATGCTTTTTCAAATGTTGTTTTAAGTCTTGAAACTTTTCTCGTCATTCCCGACAATTATGTAGCTTTACACCGTTATGAATTCCTATATG